CTTTTAATCTTCCTGACATTAACAAAAATTGAAACTGCAAATGATTGATGTTTTAAAGCTTTTTACTGAGTCATCTGATTGGTTAGCATCTAGGTTCCAAGAGGATTTTGCACTGACAGGGTTAAACTTAAGTCTTTCTTTTTCATAAATTGGAACTCTTGGTAAACATAGGTACAAGATTTATGAAATCCTCCTACACCTAAATGTAGAACATTATAAGTTCTTGGTTAAATATTTTGATGAGTTCAGTTTCAGCTTGATCTTCAAGCTTCTATAGAGGGGGACATTTAAGGAACTTTAACGAATGGATTGGTATCCTGTAGCTTAGAAATATGTAATTTTACATTAAAGTAAAAAGAAAACAACCAATGGCTGTTTTGCTAGGGAGAGTTAGTTAGGCTTACCTTCCAAAAGGCATAGTCTTTGCTTTGGACCTGTAGGATAGGGAGGATGGATAGCTTCTGCAACAGTATATTACATTAGAGTGGGCAAGCAGTTTTGCATCTGGTTTTAGTTTTGACGAATCATTTCTTCTTGAGGAAAAGCCTAAGTGAATGGCTTAAGGAAAGCTCTGGCCTTGTTGGTTTGACATAGTCCCATATCCATCTTTTTAAAATAATTTATGACCTGTGTTGTTTTGTGTGCCTTTTTCCAAATAGATTGTATTTTTTCTCAAAGCTTACTTTTGAACATTGTAGTGAAGACTGAATTGAGCCCTCAGAAATACTTCCATTTCCTAATCTTGGCATTTGGTGTTCAGAGGTGAAAGCTGTTGTACTTGATTGATTCCATTTGTTTCTTCCTTTTTGGAAGAAATTTTCTTTCCAGTGTTACAGCTTACTAAGAATCTTCACCCTTGCCACATCATTTAAGTTCTTCTCTTTTTATGAAGATTCCAGATTTTGGTGATGGAGGATTTTGATGGTTTTCTTTCTCTGTCCATTTCCTCATCAGACCAAAGAGAACCCTGTACAGTAAGAAATATGGCGTGGACCTCATCAGATATACTCATGCAGCAAACACAGTCGTTTACAGCTCTAACAAAATAGACGGTAAGCAAGCCTTCTTTTTAGGAAGTTATGGCCATGGTTTCTTTTGTTAAATAGTTCATGGTATCTTTGTGACTACTGTTTTGGTGATAGTTATTTTAATTTAAATATTTTCCTATGATGTTAGCAGTGCTAACATTGTTATGACTGAAGAGATGCTGGAAGCAAGCCACTAGTGTTTTGAAGGACTTGAAACAGTATGAAAGGTCTCCAGTTTAGAGTGGAAAGTGAGAATAGGAAACAAATTGTATATATGGTTTGTACTTCTTGAAACTTGAAAGAACACTTTTAGAACAAATGAAAGAATCCTTGACACACAGTAAGTGATAAACAATAGTACTTCCTGTTCAAAATATGTAGATTTGAGAAAAGTTTTCACAAATGCTTGAGCTATCATAGGTTAGGGACCTTAGAAGAGTTTTTGGTGTATGCCCAACCTTTTATGGTCTGTGTCATAAAGGATCGTATACTGCCCTTGGTTATCTTTGATTCTGGGGACATTTTTTGATCTGAATTTTATTGCTTTTTCTTTTTTACTTTTAAATAAAGCTAATGTCTTTGAGGGGTAAAGAGTTATTTGTAGAAATTAAACTTGTGAATTTCTTTCTCAAATAAATGGTCTCTGTTTTTACCTGCATTTCGCCTGGGTGGGATAAGTCATTCTCGGTTGACAGATTGTCTTGGTAATTGAGCAATAATATTTACTTTCACATTAGGACTCCTTTTTTTTCTTTTTTTCCCCCCATTTAACTTACCTTACTGATTTATTGATTGTTTCACTTTTTATAGTAAGATTTTCTAATGTCATTGGACAGAGGTTGCTTAGACTGCTATTTTGGCTATGCCTATCTCAGAGCAGGTGGGCAGAATTCTTTTATCTTTTTTTAAAATGAGATTTTTCTGCTTGTACTTGACTTTTAGTAAGTATATCATTTCTACTTTTAATGCCTCTATTTCAGAAGTGGTTTTCTAAGTAAGCATGCATTTGATGCTTTTGGACAAGAATATAAAACAGTAGGATCCTGAGGAAACATATCTGTATGATCGTCTGCATGACTGGTATATTTCTTCTGGTGGGGTGTTTTTCTGGGTGATTAAATGAGGATTGTCCAAACATGGTGCAAGATGAGGCAAATGTGTGGCACTTGCAGCTTTGCTGCCAGGCCTCTGCTGTTGAGGATATTGCCTTTCCTGTCTCGAGTGCATCCTGAAGAGTTCCTCCAACGCTTCGTTTCCTTTTGCCTGATTCCAGGCTGAGGTAGTAGTTTGTACAGTTTGAGGGTCTATGATACCACCCGGTACAGGAGATAACTGTACAGGCCACTGCCTTGCCAGGAACAGCGCGCCAGCTACCGAGTGGGGCGGAGAGGATGGCGACGCCCTGCTCATCTCTGAGAAACCAGGTAATGGGAGGAAGCCTTTTTCTGCTTAGGGCAGGTGAGTAGTTCCTAGCAATAAAACAACCAGGAAGACTTTGTAGTTGTCATTCAAAAAACTTGGAAGATGTTTTCAAGGAAAACCATGTAGAGTTCAGTTTTGGAACATACAAAGAGTACCCTTTTCCTTCTCCCAGGTTAAATGCCCTCTTATTAAAAAGTACCCCTGTAAATCACTGGGATGACTTGGTGTGTTCATCCTCTTAGTTCCTGTGTTCTTTTTGCCTCCAGAATGTTCTTTCTATGCTTTCTTTTCTGCATTTTGGCACCATTTTCTATCATCCCTTTCTCAACAATTGTTCCTTATTCATAGTCTTTTCAGGGGCATAGTATTTCCCAGCTTTATTCTTTATGACACTTCATTCCCTTCCCACCACCATTTTTTTGTTTGTTTACTTTTTCAGATAGAATCATTTGGTTTTTAAGAGTGTCTCATTTTACCCAAGCACAAATTTCTGATTATGCCTTCTTTGTTACGTCAAAATCTCACTGCTGTGACTTGTTGGTACAGTTCATGAGTTTGGTATTGAAATGTCTTTAGATCTTTTAAACCCAAATTTTCTTTTTATTTTGGCATTATTATTATTATTATTATTATTATTATTATTATTTTTAAACAACTGATGCACAAGGGACCAGTGGGTAGTTGGTGAATTAGAAAAGAAGTAGTAGGACATTACTTCTCTTTCTATTTTGTTTAATTTTAATGTAAATTGTATATCCATTTAACATTCAGATGAGGTCAGGTTGCATCAACATGCCTTTGGAGAATCCTGGACAAAAATATGCAAGTCCAGCCTGATTCTTAGCTTAGTGTGGCTGCTTAATTCTTTGAACCTTTTTCCTCAGCAGCCAGATGTTTTTCTTTAAGGCTTGCCATTCTGTAGGCACTAAAACTATTGGGTTTTTTTGGGGGGGTGGGGCAGGGTATATTTGCAGAACAAGTTGCATTGTAACTATGCAGAAGCCAAAGATGGATAGTTAACAATGATTTTAAACATTGCTCTATATGCTGTCAACTTAAGAACTCTGCTTTTGAATTATATCAGATCTGTGGTGCCCACTCTTCAGTTGTGGGGAGAAATTATTCACCAGTATTTATTCACACCTGGCTTGGGTTATGGAAAACAATGAAGTCTTTGACCTTTTCAAGATAAAAATGCAAAGTAAATTCCTTTAAAAATAGTAGGGTATCATCATGCCTTATTTGTCTTCTTACAGATACTATTCGTTACCTGTCCTTGCATGACAACAAATACATCAGATATTTTCCTGGACATAGCAAAAGGTAAGACCCAAGTGTTATAGAAGTAGATCTTTTATCCCTGAGGTTATTCAGACAATAGAAGAATGGAGAGATTTTATCAGTGAACTAAAGCTAATTCCTCACTGCTGTGTAGTATTCTTCTTAGTCTTGTTAACCCCCTTTAGTAGTCAGCTCTCGATTAACTGAGGTTGTGGAGGCAGGGGTATAACTTCATAGATAAACCGAAATTTTAGTTGAAATGTAATTAGGAAAAAGGTAAAGACATTCAATGGAAACCTAGGTAGTAAAAAGTATACTTAGCATTTAGGAATCCCAAATATCAGCTATCCCTTATATATATGAGGCCTTCTGGTACAGGTGGCCCCCATTTCAGCAGGCCCCTGCTATACATAAACTATGTGAAGATCTTAATGAGGATGCAAAAAAGAATTGTTCTTTGTTACTTTTGAAAGTCAAGCTTGTTTCCTTTTTCTGTTTTGTAATGTGAGCTGCTTCTGTCTTTTACCCCAATCTCCCAGTATTTTTTCCTCTAATTTTTCAAGTTTTGGTTGAATGTTATTTCATTGGATGATATTTTAATCACAAGGGAGAGGGGTATTTCCTCCTGCTTTCATTTGCAAATGTACAGAAACCCAGTACTCTTAGAGTGGTAGAGAACCCTAACAGAAGGTTGGCCAAGAGCACCCTGCACTTCTGATTGGGCAGGGCATTTCTGTGTTGGTGAAGATAAGAGGTGGAAGCTGTTGGTTACTGTGTAGTTCACAGAAAGAATGGCTTGTGACAAGTAGATGTTTTTGCTTGTTTGTAATCAAATGAATGTTCACAAATGTACTGTCTGTAATTAACAGTTGATTGCAATTCAGAATTCTTTACAATTTTCTCAGTTATCTAGCCTTTGACCTCCTGTTTCTTAGATGACTTTGTCCCTCCTTTTTTTTTAGAAAATCAAAGCCATCCAAAAAGGTTTTTTTTTTTTTTCAACTTTTATCCCTTCCACCTAAATTTCTCTCAGAACCCTTTCCTTGAGAGAGAAGTAGCCTTTTTTCCTTGACAAAACCAATCTCTTTCTGCTTGCTTCCATTTACTTAACTGTACTTTTTTGTTGCCTACAAACTTACTTGGCCTTCCTTATCTTAAATCTATCTTGAGACTATCACCCACTCCTTTTCATTGTCAAACATGAAAGAATAATCTGCATACTCCCATCTCCAACTCGGCACACTCATTCACTGTTATAGATCACTCTCTGTCTAGTCCCAGAGTCATCTATGGGACTTTTCCCAAGCTGTTATACCTGCCTCTACTGTCTCTAGTTAAAATCCATTGCCTTGGGCTTTTTTTGTGGGGAGCGTGTTCAACCTCTTAGTAAAGCTTTTTTTTTTTTTCTTTGGCAGCTGACTTTTCCCATCTTGGTTCTGTTCTTGCTATTGGCCTTTCTTCCTCTTTTGACTCTAAAATAAACAAGGTTCTATCCTTGCTTTTTCTCCTTTTTGATATTTTCTCAAATATCTCCACTGATTTCGCTCACCTCTACTCAGATGGCTTCCCAAATCAGTATCTTTAGCCCATATTTGTCATGAATTCCAGACTCAACTTCCACCTACAGATTTTATACATATTTATGTAGATGTTTCTTCTCTGCCTCCACCTGACAGGTCCTACACTCCCATCATTTTTATGTTCCTCCGGCGATCTCTTGTCTGTCTGCCTGATGTTTCTTCATCTCTTTCTCTTCCAGTTCTCCTGACTCAAAGCCTTTGTTTGTTCATTTCCTTTCCCTTGTCTTCACATACACATGTTTTGTTGATTCTACCTAGGTTTAATCTCATGTGTCACTCTCCTGCGTACTCCTTCCTTTGCTTCTGTTCTAGCTCATGTCCTGTCAGGTGGAGTATTGTCAAATTCTAATTAATCTCCCCATTCCTCACCATCCTGCATCAGCACCCTGTATTACAGCTCTGACCACTGCACAGCTTCCTCAGGAAGCCTTCACATCTGCCTGCTCCTTCCCTTTTGAATCAGGTTCTCTTCCCTCCGGCTGTGATCCATTTTCCCAGCGTTATCTCCCACTACAGTTCAAGTGAACCGAACATGTGCTTCATGCCTTCCTGTCTTGTACCTTTTGCAAAGGCATCTGTCATTGAAACCCTGTTTTCCACAGGTGCTGCTTCTTCCAGAAAGCCTTCCCTGACTCTCTCTTGTAATTGCCTGGACTTGGCAGTTAAGCTTTTGTATTCCCTGAACCTCTCAGCAAAGAACTTTGTGCCAAGATAGAATTCCTCTGAGCTTTTGATCTTGATACCATGGCATAAAATTACATGTCTATATGCTTTCTGCTCACTTTTAATATTGCCTCAGCATTCCCAGGAAAATTTGGCTTATAGTATCTTTTAAATTTTTAAGTTGAGTGTTAGTGCACATTAGTTGAGTTATATTGGAAGAATTTGAGGGGGGGCACTTTTTAAGAAAAAAAGTAAATTTTCTCATTTCCTGTTCACGGATTGCATTTTAATTCTTTCTAGTGGAACTAAAACCACCTGAACCCCTTTCAGTGTCATCCAAAAACTTGAACTTCCTCTATTTCTAGATTTAAAAAATCCATTAACAAATGAGCTTTGCAGTTTAACCACCTTTTTACTTCAGACTTTTCTGTCAAAATGAAACAGTACAAAATGTATATTTCCCTTCTAATCTTCATCTGTGATACCAGCTTCTATATTATGAAGTGTTTTGCAGCTGAGCCAGAATGTGGAACTACTCATCCATAGTACCTAAAAGGAAGAGCCATCTAAATGTCCATTTTCATTATACTAGTTGCCTTTGATCATTCCAGATTGCTTGTGTATATGTGTTTCTTAAAATGGCAGTTTTGGTAGAGTGGTTTAGCGTTCACATCCAATTTTTGCAAATATCTTGCTCAACTCCTATTTATCTCCATGCATTGCAGGGTGGTGGCCTTGTCCATGTCACCTGTGGATGACACTTTCATTTCTGGGTCTCTTGATAAGACCATTCGACTCTGGGATCTCCGGTCTCCTAACTGCCAGGTAATAGTACCTCACAGTTACAATTCAGGTGTTTTCTATGGTAGGCACTATCGTCATCATCATCTCTCTCTCAAGGAAGGAGGAAAGCAGTGGTTCCATTCTGGGATCCTAGAGTCTTTTTAAACTTTGGAGAAAATCTCTTTTCCTGATAGGTAGCTGGTAATTAAGCAAATGCCCTAATCCAGTGCATACTGCATTATGCTCTGTGGCTTACTGCTTTAAAAACAGTTTTTTGGGAGCCTTTGAGCTATAGCTTTTAGCCTTAAGGGATTTGTTTTTTATTTCAATTGTAATTGTACTATACAACTGTACAATTAAGGTTGATCTGAAATCAATTGTAGGAAAACCTGTTTTTTAAAAGCCTCATTTTAGTTAGTTTTACTTTTTCTGTTCTGTAGGTAGGCTGATCTATTTGTGTCCCTTAGTTTTCATTGGGAAAGGTTAAATTTGTAGTTAAAATTGGTAGGATCCTAGATTCATTAACTTTTTTTCTTATTTCTTTTTTTTAGGGTCTTATGCATCTACAGGGCAAGCCAGTTTGTTCTTTTGATCCAGAAGGGTTAATTTTTGCTGCAGGTGTCAATTCTGAAATGGTCAAACTTTATGACCTTCGCTCTTTTGATAAGGTAAATCTTTGAATCTTTAAGCAGTCTTGATATCATAGAAGTTTTGAAGGGCGAGGTACACATTTAAGAGCCTTTTCTATGGTAGAGGAGGTATATGGTAGGTATTAGAATGTCAGAACAGTAGTTTTTCTGCTTTCTCTAGTCAAAAAGGAATCTAAAGGGATAGCATGAGAGTTGGCTCTGGTGGAAGGAATTATTGATATGCCTTGGGCCTGGAGTTGTTACTTTTATCTTTTGCAGGGGCCATTTGCGACCTTTAAGATGCAATATGATCGAACTTGTGAATGGACAGGACTTAAGTTCAGCAATGATGGCAAACTCATCCTCATCTCCACCAATGGCAGCTTCATCCGTCTCATTGATGCATTTAAAGGAGTAGTGATGCACACGTTTGGGGTGAGCTGACATTTGAGCATGGCTGTTTCTGTGCTCATACCTCTTGGGCTGAGAATTGTGTTAGCTGGGGTGGAGACCAGCAGTTATCCCTGACTCACTCTTCGAGGCACGGACTTGCATTTTCTTCCTGCGCGTGAACTTATTTCTCATGGATTCTGAGATATTCACTTCACACCCAGTGACCCAAGTTTGGTGTTTAGATATAAAATAATTCCTGACTATAAACATTTTCTTGCCCTTTTGAATATAGAGTTGTTGAGGGTAGGGGGTGAATTATGAAGGATGGCAGACAGGTTTGGAATCTTGATGCTGCTGTACACGAGGAGGAGAAGGTTTCACAGAAAGGAAGGTGACGTGTATGCTGGGTAGTGTTTCTAGGCAATTGTTTTTGTTAATGGCCTTGTAAGAAGAGAACTGTTCTCCTTTTTTTAGGGTTATGCCAACAGCAAAGCCGTCACACTTGAGGCCTCGTTCACTCCAGACTCCCAGTTTATTATGATTGGTAAGCTTCCTTTATCCACCTTGGGAGTTGTTTCTGTGGTACTGTGTATTTATTTATATTATTTTTGTTAGTTTTAACTAATTAAGATGTTATCCTTTTGATAGACGTTTTCAGATTTTTGTGTAGCACAATATGTCAAAGGTATAGCGTCTTTAAAATTATGCTGACTTTACAGTTCTTTACTGGGAACTTGCAGTAATGTTAGTCTTCCCTAAATCGCATTATAGTTAAACTCTACAAGCACTATCTTACTAGTAATAGTAACTTTCTAATGTAACCCTGTTTTCAGTCAATGGCTAGCTGTTGGTAGTGTAGTGATGATATTCAGTAATCTTTTTAAATGAGAAAATGGAAGTTAGAGGGGAAGTGACTTGCCCAGGAACAAATAAGTGCAGACAACATTAATTCCCCAAGTGTCCTCTTTTCTCTGCCTCTTCTCCCTCTCAATTTCTGCTGAGTGCTGGGTCCTGAAACTTGGCCTCTTTCCAAATGTCAGTGTCTTTTTCCCACTTGTCTTTGTAGTGTGCCTTGAGCTGTTGTATTTTCCTTGATCATTCTCTCAGGTTCAGAGGATGGCAAGATCCATGTCTGGAATGGAGAGAGCGGTATAAAAGTAGCTGTGTTGGATGGCAAACACACAGGCCCTATTACCTGTTTGCAGTTCAACCCCAAGTTCATGACCTTTGCCAGTGCATGTTCCAACATGGTATGTGAACCAATGGGAAATGTCCTCCATCTGGCGGCCCTCTCTGTGGCTTTTGAGCATAGCAAGCTGTGTTCTAAATAGCTACATTACTAGCAACAGATTCATGCTTCTCAAATGGTGGCTTCCCTGTTTCACCTCTTATTCTCTGATCTCTGGTTGGGCTGGTCTTTCACTTTTACTCTCATTTCTATGATCTCACATCACTTATGAGCTCCCAGGAGATCTTAGGTCAGTTTTTGCTCTGGCTGGCTTCTGGTTTTATGTTCAAACTACCTGGGCTACACTTGACAGCTTTTTGGCTTCTTAAAATATTTTCTTTGAACAAGGCTTTTGGTGGCTGCAATCTTTCAGTTTTCCATTCCTCTTAGTTTATGCTGAATTCCTCAGAAATTCTTAAAGTTGATTATAACTCACCACCTAAGAATTTCCTCCAGGCTCCTGTCTCTCTCTTGACAATACTAGCAGAACAAAGCATCATGAGTCTCTGCCTCTAGTTTCCTCTTGACATCTCCTAAACTCACCTGGGTATTTGCTAGCCTACCCAGAACATGGTGCCTCACTCCCATCCTTTTTAAACTAAGAACACAGTGTCAGAAAAAAATGCAGCAAAACCATCCATTCCAGTGCCTCTCATTTTTCACAGCTCAGGAAGGAGAAGGCCTGTCTGAAATCACCTGGTGTATTAGCAGTGAGGCAAGGTTACCCAGACCTCCACCTCCCAGACAGCATTCCTTTTTTCCCTTACCCCTGGGCCACTATGGTGGAAGGTAGACAGTGTGAGCAGGAACCAACCAGCTGACTTTCACATAGGGTGGGGAGTATTTCTCCCTAGATAGCCAGTCGATTGGTCAGGAGGGAGGGCCACCAGCCATAAATCCTCCATCACGGGGTGGAGCTACTTGATGCTGTGGGAAGGGGTAAGAAGAACCCTCAGCAGTTAAGAGAGAGGTTTGGCTTTTTAAACTTGATTTTTGTTCTCCTTCCAGGCCTTCTGGTTGCCCACCATTGATGACTGACCTTAATGCTGTTCAGCTGTTTCCGAGGGTGGCCAGCAGGAAAAAACTCAGAGGGGACTGAGATAATAGTGGGATTGGAATATTTGACTGGACTGGAGAGCATCCTTCCACATGGCCCTCCCATGGATGTGCTGTACATCTGCTCAAAAGAAAAAAAATACTTTACTGAGCTTCTTCAAAAGGACTCTTGGTGCGGCAGATTCACACGGGACTCAGATTTTCCAGCTGTCATTGCACTGAGCTCCTCCAGAGGAGTGACCAGACTCATGATTAGGGTATAGTGGGGCCCTTAAGACGCCTTCAGTTTTGAATGTATTTGCTGCTAAGGAGCCGTTGAAGTTGTTAATTCTGCACATCCCCAGTTGTTAATTCTCCCACCCCCATAAATGCATGGGAAGCCACAGTTCTGGTTTTGAGCTGCTAAGGCAGCTCAGTGCCCCTTGCCCTTACCCTGCATGTCTTGTTACTGGGTCTCCCTGTGTCATTGTGGTATAATCCACAATCATCATGTTACTTAGGTGCCAAACATTTACAGAAATAAGTCTTCATATATCTTGGTGTCAGAAATGGACAGATACAGAAAGACCTTGCTTTCCAAAAAGCCTTGCAAGTTAGGTGTTTGAGGGTATGTGATCTAGGCATGCCTCAGGCTTTGAGTGTTGGGTGGGAAAAGGCCCAAGAGGATGAAAGAGAGGGAGGGTAGCAGGTGAGAGTTCCTAGGGCTGGGAGGTTTAGCAGCGACCTAGTGTGGGCCCTTGTCATCAGTACAAACCCATGGTCCTTCTGGTTGCCTACCCAGTTTGGTTGTATACAAAAGCAAGGTGGGAGTCTATTTTTGTACATGAGATACAAACATCACACTTTCCTGTGGGCCAGTATTGTGGAGTGAGTCTGAGTTGTTTACACTGATGCCTTCCCTGCCCTCCACAAATTGTGTATATAGTCTCATGATATCACCCCTTTCTCAGCTCCCAACCATGAGCTGGCTCTAGGCCTGTGTTATATGTTATATTTAGCTTTTTTATATATGACCTGGGATTTCTGTTGTTTGTATTTTAGCACAGTGTGTACACCTTCATTTAAGTATATCTGTGTGTGCATACATGTATTTGTATGTATGCATATATATAAAATACCTGTCCTTTCTCAGTTTAGCCAAAGGACATGGATTCCTACAGCCCCGGGGAAAGTCAGCATCCTTGCTAATAGTGTTTGCCACAAGTGTTAGTGAGTCTTCTTTATTACATTTTTCTTTTCAGGAGACTGAACGAAGCATAGCTTCAAGTGTTTGCTGTTCCTGTGGCAGCTAAGTGAGGGTCTTGGGATAACTCCCTTGTGTTCCTCAAGCCGCACTTTGGGGCCCTCTCTGCAGTATTAGCCCCCTTTTTTTGCCTGGTGATGGCTCTGTCTTGTGCCTATATATGTGTGACAGTCACTTTTGCATGACTTTTGTGTCTGGCTTGCAGTATTTGGGGACAGGATGCTAGAACCAGGGCATTTTCAGTTTGTCTGAGGCTTCTTTACCAATTACAGGTCACTCCTGTTTACCAGGTATGTCTTTCTTGTTTTTTTTTCCTTGCCTTCTCTTGGGAGAGGGATGGGTCCTGATCAGGGTAGAGATGAGCTGTGTCTGGTTCATGGCCTTTTCCTCCCCTGCATGGCCTTCTTAGAGCAGGACGAATGGCATGTTATTTCACTGAATTCTCAAACATTAAAAGCAGATAACATTCCTTGCAGATCCAAAAACAGACTCAAGAAGGTGAAGACTTGCCCAAGAGTACATAGCTGCTAGGGGAGAATGCAAGTCATTACTGCCTCTCTTTAGCAGCTGGAATAGGCTGTGAATTGCTAGCAATTACTGTTTTTTTTTTTAAGCAATTTTACTTTTTGACTTGCTCCTCAGACTCGAAGGGCAAGGGGCATGCATCTTTCTCAAATGTAGACTAGAATCGGCAGCTGCTGCAGTGCTGCCCATTGTATAGCTCTGCCATCTCAGAGTGGAGGGACTTTTAGAAACCAAATGATCTGAGCTGTTGCTGCCTGCTCTTGGTTTTCTAGGGTAGAAAATTCATGGGAGGAATAACTGTTCAGAGAGTGCTTGGAATTGTGGGTTAATGAGAAAGGCTGTGTGATCAACATATCTGTAATCAGAGTGGCCACCCAGCATGACTTGCCTG